TATGGAGGGTAAATCTGTCTTATCAGATATCGAAGACTTATTATGCTACAATAATAGCTACAATAATAAACACAGTGAGATAGGGACCTAAGGATACACAAACAAATGGAACAGAAAAGAGCTCTGATAGGGAGCCACACTTGTAGGAAACTTTGGTATCTAGAATAGCTATGATTATCAGAATTGTTGTGAAAGTGGCAAGAGTTTAAAAAAAAAAAGGAGCTATGGAGTTAAAATCTTTTTTCTGTTTGCCAATTAATTCTTGCCTTTGTTTATACAACAGAGAGATGATGCTAAAGTCATGACTGGATGATGAGTTATAATTTCAGAATAAATAAGAACTTTTCCAATTCAACAAATACTAAGCATAAAGACTTATTTCAGATTACAATTTGTCAAATGATTCTTTTGGGAAAAAACAAGTTGGCCATGTAAATGCTAAGGCAGCAATTCTGATCCAAGGAATCCATAAACCTAAAAAGTATGTAAGGTTTTGTGTGTATATGCATATTGAGTATTTTTTTTTCATATTGAGTATTTTTATGTGGTGAGGCTCCACAACCTGCATCATTTTCCTAAAGGAATATAAAGATTCCATACACACAAAAATAAATTAAAAACCACTGTACTTAAATAAATATTAGGTACAACCAGACTATCATCAGTGGTTACTTAGGAAGAAAAGAAAGTTACAGCTAAAATGAAGAAAACAGGGATACTCACATTTTACATGCCAATTAAACTTAAAAAATATATATATTTTTAAGTTTTGAAATAATTATAGATTCACAGGAAGTTGCAAACATAATATAGAGAGGTCCTGGATAAGTTCATCTGGTTTTCTCCAATGGTAACATCTGACGTAATTGTGGTACAATATCAAAACCAGGAAATCAACATTGATATAAGCTATAGACCTTATTCAGATTTTTGACCTTATTCAGTTTTTACACACAATCATTTGTGTTTGTATATATATAATTCCATGCAATTTTATCACATATCTAGATTCATGTTACTGGCACTGTATTCAAGATATACAACTACTTGGGACACCTGGGTGGCTCAGCAGTTGGGCACATCCACCTTCAGCTCAGCACATGATCCTGGAGTACTGGGATCGGGTCCCACATCGGGGGATCTCCGATGGATCTCTCCGAGGGATCTCCTTCTGCCTGTGTCTCTGCCCCTCTCTTTCTGTGTGTCTCATGAATAAATAAATAAAATCTTAAAAAAAAAGATATACTACTACTTTATCACCATAAAGCAACTCCCTCATACTATACCTTATAGTCTCACATCAACCACTAATCTGTTCTAATTTTTAAGAAAAAAGTATTTTTAAATATTTTTAATACTTATGTAAACTCCCTAAGTGCATGTACATATGTATGTATATGTAATATATATGTGTAGATATATACATATGCACATCCATATAAATGTATGTATACACGTATATATGTACACATATATAATCTTAAATGTATAGAGAATTAGAAAATACTTTAAATCTATTATTTAGTCTATTAGAAAATACTTTAAATCCTTAATAGTGGTTTGCTTCAAATAAAAGTACTAAAGGTATCAGGGGAAAAGTGAAAGTCTTTTAACTTCTCTTTTTAACTTTCTATACATTTTTAATTGTGTACAATCAATATATTTTACTTTTATAACTTTTTTGTCGAAAGACTGCTATTAAATGTTATTAAACATCCCTTGTGTAAACTTGATTTTCAGTGGCCAGACTGAGAAACCACTAGTTCACAGTAACACCCTTTAGACACTTGTAGAGAATATCTAGGAACCCAGGGATGATTATAGATAGGGAAAGGAAATTGTGAATAAGTTGATATGAAATCAAATCTGTAATATGGTCTGCTAGATCTGAAAATACTTTATTCTTTAAGTTTGGTGGAGCTTTTTCCACAAAGAAGTTGTAGGTACACACAATAAAATACTTCTCTGTTAGCAGCAATTGCAATGAAATGCAATTTCAGTCAATCACTGCTAAGAATATGTAATATATGGTTAAGACCACAGACTTGAGGATTCAAGGATCAGAATGACCTAACTTCTGAATCTCACTAAGCGATATACTAGATAGGTGACCTGAGTAACTTGGCTATCCTTCTAGCCTTATTATCCCCATTTGTAAAATGAGCCTATGATAAAATTCACCATCATACCCCGTTATAAGGCCCAGACAAGTTTACCAATGGGGAATACTGACCATAGCCACTTAATGGAAGTTATGATATCTGGCTATATTATCTCAAATGACAATGGGTAAATAGATACTAAAGCAATGCAGTGGAAAAGATCCAAATTGGAAGTTTGTAGGTATGGAGTCTCTTTCCCTAGCAATATCAAATTCAATAAGTCACTTCTACTTATTGAAGTTCAATTCACTTAAATAAAACTTGCCCTGACTCCTTAAAATCAAAGAACTATGAGTGAAAATACTATAGTATTCAAAGCATTATAAAACTAAAATGTGGGGATCCCTGGGTGGCTTAGCAGTTAAGTGCCTGCCTTCGGCCCAGGGAGTGATTCTGGAGTCCTGAGATTGAGTCCCATGTCAGGCTCCCTGCATGGAGCCTGCTTCTCCCTCTGCCCGTGTCTTTGCCTCTCTCTCTCTCTCTCTGCCTCTGTCTCTCATGAATAAATAAATAAAATCTTTAAAAAAAACCAAAACACTAAAATGTATATAAAACCTAAAGTATTAGAACTAGAAATGGAAGAAATATTCTGTGAAGTAAAAAGATAGGCATAATGGATTTAGAGTTAGCAGAAGCCATCTTTGAATCCTTGGAATTAAGAAGATAGGGGCTGGACTCAAATTAGTCTTATTAGAGTACCACCAGTGACATCTTCTTTTGCAAAATGGTAATGAAGTATCACAGGATTGTGAGGATTAAATGGGAGAATGCAGGTAAAGCTTTTAGAACACTTCTGGCAATATACATATCTCCCACATTTTATTATTATTACTGTTATTGTTGTTATGCCTTAGTTTCTTTAGCTGTAAAATGTGGGAGAGCACCTACTTGAGAGTACATATGAAAAATAAATGAGATATTAGTAGGGCATGTCAAATAACACTTCCATAGAAGCTAGATATAAAAACAAAATTAAGACAAGTTGGTCTAATAACTCTAACCAAATTATCTCTAAGTCTTTTCCAGAAATTCCTGTGCTGTTATTTTACTTTTATTATTGCTTTACTACTATTGTACTATTTTCCATATACAGTTAGACTTTAATTTTTCATCAAGTTCATTTTTAACAAGCTAACAATCACACTTAAGAAAATTTATTAGGTTGGGACAAACTTATATTAAAAAAGACATTTCAGGGACACCTGGGTGCCTCAGCAGTTGAGCATCTGCTTTCGGCTCAGGGCCTGATCCCCGGACCCGAGCCTGATCCCAGGACCCGGGATCAAGTCCCACATCAGGCTCCCTGCGGGGAGCCTGCTTCTCCCTCTGCCTTTGTCTCTGCTCCCCAGCTCCCCCACCCCCATCTCTCATGAATGAATGAATGAATAAATAAATCTTTAAAAAAAAGAAAAAAAGACATTTCAAAAAGCTACATTTAGATAACTACAAGAGTATTTTCAATAAACTTATTGTAAAAAGCTGAATTCTAAGTCAAGAGACATATTAATATTTCACAGCAAAATAAGTCACATCAGAACCTATAAATATGTTGGGAATGTTCTTTAGGTTAATTACAGTTTAGGAGAGACAAGAGAAAGATAAAAAATTTGTCCCACCCTCTTGTTTCACTATCTTTTTCTCTCCATCTCCCTATCTTTGGAAAAAATAGAATCATTTAAAGGTTGAGCGACAGTTTTTTAAATCCAAATTACTAATTGCTACCATCTACTTTCTACTATTTAGTATTAACATTAAACTTTAAAATATTCTCTTAACTTCTTTTGTGGCTTTTAATTTGTTTGTTTGTTTTTTAATGTCCTTTGAGGAGCCCATAGAACAATGCTTTCTTTTTCTTCTCTCCCATAAAAAGCTCACAATTGGGTATTCTTAAAGAAAGCATTTTCGGATGGAGTGACCATTATCACATTGCAATTCACTGGTCTATATAATTCCTACGACATTGTTCCAGTAACCTGAAATTCATTATACACACATCTCTGTATGACTGACTTTTAGTGCCTTTGATTCCCCAAAGCTGAATCTTTTAGGCCAGAGCTAAACCAAGGATGTTCTATTCTGGACTCCACAGGAAAATGTGCTCTTTCAAACTCTATTCATACAGCAATTAGTTAAGGAGTTCACCATTCACCACTGTGGACCATGAGTAGAGGTCCCATGGGAATGGAACCCCATTCCCATGGGACCCATGGGAACCCATTTTCCATAAGCTAACCTTACGTACAGACAAGTCACTAATTTAACACTGGGGCTAAGAGGTAACCAAATACCTTGAAAAGCTTGTTTTAATAGCTAAGTTATCCTCATCAGGAATTAAACTGAGAGAATATGTACAAACAATTCAGCTTGCCCTGGAAGATTCAAGAGATATCAGGCTTACAAACACTTCCTTCAGGGACTTATTTACTAATAAGCATTTGGGCTAACGACCAAAGACCTGCCAAAAAATATTATAAAATAATTTTGGGATCCCTGGGTGGCGCAGCGGTTTGGCGCCTGCCTTTGGCCCAGGGCGCGATCCTGGAGACCCGGGATCAAATCCCACGTCGGGCTCCCAGTGCATGGAGCCTGCTTCTCCCTCTGCCTGTGTCTCTGCCTCTCTCTCTCTCTCTCTGTGTGTGTGTGTGACTATCATAAATAAATAAAAATTAAAAAAAAAAAATAATAATTTTAAAATATTGGGATTAAGATGAAAAATGAGGCTCATTTAAGTAAACCAAGGCCTTTGTCTAGTTAACAGCCATGCAACTGTACATACACTATTTGAAACCATTTCAAACAGCAAATTAGAATTGACTCAAAGTAAACGTCAGTACTCACTTTTTTATTTCTCGGAGTAGCATTCGGATAAGGATGGTCTGTAGTGGTTCAACCATCAATTTCCTCCACATATCCAATGCTAGCTGCCAAGAAAAATAAAAATTATCACGGATGAATTATCTAGTATTTGTTAAAATATTAAAATAATTTTAAAATAAAAATACACATCAAGTATTTACAACTAAGATTTCAAAAGTCAAATAAAAATTGAAAATACATTAAAAAATGTATTTCTAATTTAAACTGAAAATGACTATCAGACTCGTACAAAGATAGAATTAAGGTTTGAATTAAATAAAACTGAATTGAATTCAACTGAATTAATTGAAATCTTAAAGAAATAATTGATTTGATTTTTATAAACTATAATTTATTGATTGTTAAATGTCCAGTATTACTGAAAGGCTATATAAATGCCGACACTAATAGAAACAAACGAATTATGTTAAAGTGATTGGCTATTGGCTGAGTTTTAAAATTATAAAACCTCTCATGCAAACACGAAGGGTAAGTCAATTAAAATAATAAAATAGAATATCCCTGTATTCACCACCCAGCTCAAGAAGAAACACAGCTTCCCTATTACCATTGTCCCAAATGTCATCCTACTTTCCCCTCCGAGGTTACCACAATCCTGAATTTTGTGTTATATCATTCTCTTGCCTATAGTTCTGCCAAATGTATACATATCCCCAAAATAATTTTTTTAACTCCAGTACAGTTAACACACAGTATTAGTTTCAGGTGTACAATACAATGATTCAACAACTCTATATATTATTCAGTGCTCGTTGAGATAAATGTACCCTTAATCCCCTTCACCTATTTCACCCATTCCCTCACCCACCTCCTCTCTGGTAACCATCAGTTTGTTTTCCACAGTTAAGTCTGTTTTTTGTTTTTGTTTTTTCCCTGACTTATTTCACTTAGTATTATATCCTCCATAGCCATCCATGTTGCAAATGACAAGATTTCATTATTTTTTATGGCTAAGTAATATTCCATTGTATATACAGACCACATCTTCTTTATCTATTCATCTATCAATGGACACCTGGGCTACTTCCATAATTTGCTTATTGTAAATAATGCTGCAATATACACAGGGGAGTATATCTTTCCAAAATTGTGTTTTCATTTTCTTTGGATAAATACCCATTAGTGGATTTACTGATTATATGATACTTCTCTTTTTCATTTTTTGAGGAACATCCATTCTGTTTTCCACAGTGGTTGCACTAATTTACCTTCCTACCAATAGTGCATGGGGGTTCCCTTTTCTCCACATCCTCACCAACATTTGCTATTTCTTGTCTTTTTGATACTAGCCATTCTGACTAGTGTGAGGTGATATTTCATTGTGATTTTTATTTGCATTTTCTCAATGATTGGTGATTTGAGCATCTCTTCATGTGTCTGTGAGCCATTTGTATCTCTTTGGAAAAATGTTTATTCAGGTCTTTGACCCATTTCTTAATTGAACTGTTTGGGTTTTTTTTTTATGTTGTTTGTAGAAATTCTTTATGTATTCTGGATATTAATGCCTTATTAGATTTGTTATTTGCAAATATTTTCTCCCATTCACTGGGTTGCTTTTTGCTTTGTTGATGGTCTCCTTTGTTGTACAAAGCTTTTTTATTTTGGTGTAGTCCCAATAATCTATTATTGCTTTTGTTTCCCTTACCTGAGAAAACATATCCAGAAATATGTTGCTAAGGATGATGTCCAAGAGATTACTACCTGTGTTTTCTTTAGGCATTTTACGGTTTCAGGTCTTTCGTTTAGATCTTTAACCCACTTTACAAGTTTATTTTTGCGTATGGTGTAAGAAAGCAGTTGTTCCATTCGTTTGCATGTAGCTGTGCAGTTTTCCCAAAATCATTTAGGGAAGAGGCTCTTTTTTCCATTGTGTATTCTCACCTCCTCTGTCATAAATTAACTGACCATTGAAGTGTGGGTTTGTATGCATGGGTCCTTTATCCTGTTCCATTAATCTGTGAGTACCATACTGTTTTGATTACTACAGCTTTGTAAGGTAGTTTGATATCTGGGATTGTGATACCTTCAGTTTTGTTTTTCTTTCTCAAGGTTGCTTTGGCTATTTGAGTTGTTTTGTGGTTCTATACGAATTTTAGGATTATTTGTTCTAGTTCTGTGAAGAATGTTATTTATAGTTTGATAGGGATTATATTTGTGGGTTTTTTTTAAGATTTATTTATTCATAAGAGACACACAGAGAGAGAGAGAGAGAGAGGCAGAGACATAGGCAGAGGGAGAAGCAGGTTCCTCAAAGGGAGCCCAACGTGGGACTCGATCCCCCTTATCCTGGGATCACACCCTGAGCCAAAGGCAGATGCTCAACCACTGAGCCATCCAGGCATCCCATATTTGTGGTTTTAACTGGCATCTTCTTGACTGAGGCTGGGCATCTTTTTATGTTTATTGTACATCTTGGGTTTTTTCTGTAAAATGCCCATTCCTCTCTTTGGCCCATTATTCCATTAATATTTTATCTTGTTTTTAATAAACAAAAGTCTATTGTAGAAATTAACTGCATATATTGTAAAAATTAATCTTTTGACAGTTTTATATATTGCAGTCATAGTTTGTGACTTAACTTTTGAGTTCCTTTATAGTGTTTTTTAGTAAAAATATATTTTAATGTCTCAAGTTTATCAATCTTTTCCTTTATTGTTTGTATTTTTCTTGTCTTTTAAGAAAATCTTGTCTTCCCTACCCTAATGTCAGGGATAACTGTGTCCTCTTATATTGCCTATCACAGGTTTTCAAGTCTTGTATTTCATACAGAAACTCCAATATATTTTTCCCATAAAAAGTACAAATTACTCCAGTATCAACAATTGATTGCTCCTGTTTCCAACTTACTTACATATATATAGCCATTAATCTGGTTTTAGCTTCTCTATTCTATTTCCCTGAGGTAACTTTTTTCTGATCAACTGGTAATTAATTCCATTTCAAATAAGTAAAAGCATCTCCCTTCCCACAAAGAACATTCAAGTATTCCGTTATTATTTTTTTGCTTCTTAAATAGCACAAACAGGGAAAAAAAGAAGGTGATACAAAAGAAAATGAGATATTATAGCTATGGTGGGAGAACAAACTAAGAAGCCTTTTGAAAGCAAGCTGAAGGGGCTATCCTAATTCAGGGTGTGCTTGGACCCAGAAAATCCACTTTTCAGTACCCACTCTAAGAGAATTTCTGCTCATGTACAAAGAAATATATACATAAATGCTAACTCCTAAAGTGTAAGATTTGTGTCTACTTTGTTCACTACTGTGTTCTTAACATATAGAAAACTACATGGCACACAGAGGGGTTCAAAATATATTAATGAAAAAATGAGTAAATGAACAATGATATTCACAGCAGTATTGTTTGTAACAAAAAAGAATGAAAACTAAGAATAGTTTAATAAATGATTAATAAATTATTCATATCCCTATTATAGAATACTGAGCTCTCACAAAAATAAGCTTATGTGAAAAGAACTCTCAGGTACATTAACTAAAAACCAAAACAGGCAAGAAATACAAGTTGCAAGATATATGGTATGCCAACCTTAGGGTATATATCATATATATATATATATATATATATATATATATATATATATATATGATACCATTAATGTTTAAAATACAAAACTAGGGCATCCCTGGGTGGCTCAGTGGTTTAGTGCCCACCTTTGGCCCAGGGCGTGATCCTGGAGTCCCAGGTTCGAGTCCCATGTCGGACTCCTTGCATGGAGCCTGTTTCTCCCTCTGCCTGTGTCTCTGCCTCTCTTTCTGTGTGTGTCTCTCATGAATAAATAAATAAAATCTTTAAAAAATAATAAAATAAATAATAAAATAAAATATAAAATTAAACCATTATGTGCATAGTATCAATATTTATATGCAAGTTTACAGGTAAAATTCAGGAGAGACATATTGGGTTTTGTTGTTTTTTTTTTTTTGAGACATAGTGTTTATGATAATTATCTCTAGGAGAAAGAGTGACCTTGATGGTGTTGGTGAAAGGACAAGTATTAAAATATTCACTTATAATTCTACTAACTAAAGCAACTATTATTTCCCACTGTCTGTTACTCTATATTATTTTTCCTTACAGTTTTATTCCTACTAAACGTTTTCAATTTTTTCCATAAAATATTTTCCCCTTTATTAAAGTTTCTATAAACTATTTTTACTACTAATTTATTACTCTTTGCCTTCATAACAAAATTATACTGTAGATATTTTTCTATGTATGATTTTCACTGTTGGATATTGGACATTTAGACTGTCTACCCATTAGTCACCCTTATTAACAATGATTGCAAGGAATATTTTTAAATATTTATTATTTTCACATTATAGATTATCAGACATGGGATTATCTGGTTAACAGGTATTGCATATTTTATTTTTTTAATTTAATTTTATTTTTTGGTATTGCACATTTTAAAGTCTACTGAAAGACAATGACAAATTTCTTTCCAAAAGGATTATTCTAAATATAATTTCTACTAATGTTGCATCTACTATTGCTTCCCATAAGGATAGAGACCTTCTGTCTGTTCACCAATGTATCCTCAGTGTCTGTCTACTCAATAAATATGCATTATATTAACAAAAAAATTGTACTGGAGTATTTCTTTCACAATGAATATATGCTATGTAATTTTCCACATTTAAATTAGCACTACACATCAAGAATCTGAATGAAGGGGATCCCTGGGTGGCGCAGTGGTTTAGCGCCGGTCTTTGGCCCAGGGTGCGATCCTGGAGACCCGGGATCGAATCCCACGTCGGGCTCCCGGTGCATGGAGCCTGCTTCTCCCTCTGCCTGTGTCTCTGCCTCTCTCTCTCTCTCTCTGTGACTGTCATAAATAAATAAATAAATAAATAAATAAATAAATAAATTAAAAAAAAAAAAAAAAGAATCTGAATGAAGGGATCCCTGGGTGGTGCAGCGGTTTAGCGCCTGCCTTTGGCCCAGGGCGCGATCCTGGAGACCCGGGATCGAATCCCACGTCGGGCTCCCGGTGCATGGAGCCTGCTTCTCCCTCTGCCTATGTCTCTGCCTCTCTCTCTCTCTCTCTGTGACTATCATAAATAAATAAAAATTTAAAAAAAATAAAAAAATTTAAAAAAAAGATTTATGTATTTCAGAGAGAGAGAGAGAGAGAGAGAGAGAGAGAGAGAAAATGAGCTGGGGAGAGAGGTAGAGGGAGAGAATGTGTGAATTGGGAGCCATAAATAAATAAAAATTAAAAAAAAAAAAAAAGGATCTGAATGAAGTATTTGACCTGCATACTTCATTATTTTATTCTGAATTTAATTATTTTTTTAAATTAAAATAAATTTGTTTTATCCCAAAATCTGTATTTTCCCTCTTGTAGGATCTCTTTTAAGGCCATGACTTTTGCACTTTTTTTTTTCCAAGAAAGAGGAAGCATGCATTCATGTGTGGTGGGTGGAGGGGCAGAAGGAAAGGGAGAGAGAGAATCCTATGTAATAGGCTCCCATCCAGCACAGAGCCTAATACAGGGCTTGTTCCAACAACCCCAAGGTCAGGACCTGAGCTGAAATCAAGAGTCAGATGCTCAACCAATTGAGCCATCCAGGCGCCCTGACCTTTGCACTTTTTAACTATAAAAAATCTGAAGAATATTTTCTAAATACTCTTAAAAAGTATTTTCCTAAAGACTTTTAATGAGCTTTTTCAAATAGCGGAACTATTAAACCTGTCATTTATTTATCCATCATTAATTTAATTATTAAAATACTTCTATAATCATATCTGTTCTCATCTATGTGAAGATTCTTAGGAAATCATTAGTGTTTTATTAACATTTAGGATGTCTTCAATCTTGAGAATTTTAAGATAGTCAACATGGTGTCCTTAAAAAAAAAAAAAAAGACAGTGAATCAAATTACTTCAATATACATAAAAATACTCTCAAGTTTGCCAGTCATTTAAAGAATTTCCTACCTCTCCTATTTCCATAAGTGGTTCATTCATATCTACACCACCATAGCCATACTGAAGGTCAGCTTCTGTCAATTTATTCTTTTTAATAAACTGAGTGTTGAGATACCTGAAAAACAAATATAGTACTGTTGGACATTATGTTAAAATTGGTAGGAAAACAACTTGTAACTTGAAAATAACAATTTTGGGATTATATATCAACTACAGAAGAGTGCGGTACTATATCCAAAGAAATTATATAGAAGTTAGGAATATAATTTCAAAGAAGCAAAAGTGTCAGCCGAAGGCCTTAAGAGCCAAAGAATAACCTCTAGAGTAGGGGAAAAACCCTATTTTACCTCAGTCTCACTTTAAAAAAACCTCAAGGATTTGGCTCTAAAAATCCAGTATTCATATAACACAATAGCTCTTACCCAAGACTTCTAACAAACCTTCTACAATCTAATTTGCTCACTCACAGATTCTTCTTGGTATAAGTCAGGATAAGTTCACTTTGCAACAAATTAAACAAAAAAATAGTTAAAAGATAAAAATCAGGTCAGTCCTTCAATTTATATTTATCACCAGGAAAAGATGTAACTTTTCACTTTTAAACAACAAAAAGAGATCAGCTGCAGTAGTAAGAAGATGAATAGACGGTAAGAAGCATGGATGAAGCAGACACATGTAAGATCACTTTGTCTACCAGAGAGAAACAGCTTTATTAACTGTAATGAAGTCTACAAAGTACTGAGATGAATACAGAGTTCTTTAAATAGTCTAGTATTCACTTTTCACAATCTTAGATTTCACTATAATGCCTTTAATGCTCACCACCGGAAAGCACTGATGTGAAATATTCTGCCATGTGTAAATAGGTACAGACAACACAAGTATTTATGCAATAACTACGAAATCTCTAAATTAAAACACTTGTTTTCTAGGGTTCACTGCATCAAAATGAAAAGTCCACATCTGCAGACAAATAAAACTGAAAACAAAGACAACAAAAATTTCAACTGCATAACTCCACCAACTCTAGGTAATGATGAAAACACACTTCCTGGAGTTAACTCCAAAGCTGCAGAGATACAACCATTCACACAGTTGCACTCTCACACTAACTACAAGCCTCTAGGGTTCAAGGCTTAAAAAACCCTTGGTACTCTGTCTACATTTTAGTCTCCTCTACCCACATTACAATGTCCTATTATGTTTTTCCATCAAAGTGCCATTTCACTCTTCCTACCGTTCTCTCTAGTAGTACAACCTCCTGATTTCATGCTGAGTTTTCAACCATGCCTTCCAGTTGAAGAAACAGGACTAGGATTGAGAGAGACAGGAGTAAAAGCTAGAGAGAGAACATTTGCGGTATCTGGCCTGAAATGGAGATTTATAAATTGAAGAGTTATTTTTACCTCTGCCCTCTGTCATTTAGACCTCAGCCCCAAACAGGCTTCACTCAAGCCTGACCTGATACCAATCCAAATGAACTTTAACTTCCCACTCCCATTAAAGTAACTATACACAACTGTTTAATATACTTCACGGTACTTACTACTTTGTGAAATAATCCAATTCTTTTATTTGTTTATTTGCTCTGTACATCCATTGCCTCTCTAGGATATAAGGACTATAAACCAAGGACCTTGCTTACACAGCATCCAGAACCAACGGCAGGTAAATATGAAGTCCTCAAAAAATACTTCCTTGAAGAATTACTGCATACATAAATGGATAGCATTCCAGACAACAGGGATAACAAAAGCTAATATTAGAATATAGACTTAGAAACGCAGCCTAGAGCCAGATCATAAAAGACACAAATGCCGGGAAATGAATGTAATCACTAACATTTACTGAGCTTGTGTCACGTGTCAGGCATACCCTTAAGCATTTTATATGGCTGAACACTATGAGGTTGATATGTGTGGTATTACTGTGATCCTCCTTTTACATGTAAGGAAACTGCACCTTAGAGAGCTTAAAGAACTTGCCAACAGTCAATCTGCTAGTAAGTCGCAGAGCTGGCACAGAAATTCACGAGTTCTCCCTCTTTCCTTCAACAAGTATTGACCAAGCATGAACTATAAATCAGGTACTATGCCAGGTACTAGAGATAGAAGACGGAAAACAAAAATGTGGGCTTCCTGCAGAGTTTACATATCTGGTAGAATATACAAACATAAATACTTCAACAGTAAGATCAGTAGAGGGAACTTAATTGTCATATCTTTACCATTTATATGTATGTGCCTTCCTGTACGGATGCTTTGCACCAAATCAGTTTCTTTTTTGGTCTGTAGTACCATTACCTCGTAATCCCACTAAAGGACTAGAAACATTTATGTATTATCCTTCCGTTTTACTCCCTTAATCAGCTGGTCAACATTTTCTCCTAAGCTATTCATCATCCTCTCCCATTACTTTCCTTCTCTCTTCCAATGCCTTTTGTTTTACTCTCTGCTTGGATCACGTGCAACACTGTCAGGATTGGTGTCTGTTTCCTGTTTCTGCCATCTCTAATTCATCTAAAAATTCCGCTTTTAGGATGTCACTGACCTATTCAGAATCCTAAGTAGCTCCTTTATACCTATATAGTAAGTATAAACCTCTTAGGATGGTGGTTTGTTAATACTGAAGAATTAGCTGCTAGGTCTACAGAGGTCTAGAATCACCAATCCATTTCAAAGATCTATATGTATATTCTTGAGCCAGTATACTGTTTTAGTGGAGTTTTATGTTTTATATGTGATAAGACAAGTCATTGTTCTCTTTACCTCATGCAATAAGACTTGAATTTAAAGTAACTGTATCCTTTTCATTCCAGATTTCTACTCTTGATGTTAAGTTTAAGCTTGATAGACAAGCCTTTAAAATAATTTAGAGATAATATTTAAAATGTAAACAGTGCAATTCCTCATTTTGATGTGGATACAATTCTTAATTTCTAAGTCACTGGAGTATTTTAGTCAATTTTATTTCATCACACATTTGTTTTTAAATAAAGATATATGTTCTAGGAAATCATAACAGAAATCAGGTTCCAATAATTTAAAAAAATATTTTATACTCTGCTACACAGATAATACCTGGTTCTTCTGCTCACATATAATACAATCGTTTTTATAATTTTTATGAGTTTTTATAATTTATTTCATCAACAGAATGCTTAATAAGTATCCTTTGCTTTCTTGGAATAGTAACACTGACACAATTAAAAATAGTACTTGACAATACTGAATAGCCTAAAGTAACTTTGAAGCCTCAGAGAAATCAAGCACTTCAATCTGTCTTAGGAAATTCCATTACAAAAATTGTTCTCTCATACTAGTACCTACTGACTTCAAGAGTTGTTAGTTCTCCAGCTAATATCTTATATAGTCCACTTCAAGAGCCAGCAGAGTCTAAAGAGATATGTAGTAAGTACTGAGAAATGTGAGGCAGGAGTATTACTATTTTCTTCAAAGTCAGAATCCTTAAATTCCCTATGCTAATGCACATCCATCTTATAAGTCAACCGAATAAAAAAGAGGTGAGAAATTATTTCAAAAAAAATATTAAAAAATACTTTTGAAACAAAATTGAATTTTTCCTTTATATTTCTTTACACAAATTTCTTTATAGACTATAACTAAAAATGATACCTAGCCTGGATAACCTCAGTACACCACAATTAAAAACTATTAAGTATTTTTCATCTAATTACTGCCAACTATACCCTTTATGAAAAGGATCTTGCCATCTATTATATCAATATAATTAAATAAATGATGATGAGCCACATGATGCCAACATCACAGTGGTCAAATAAAATTCTCTGTAAGTGAATTCCATGAGCCATGAGTTCTAACTCTTTGCTACAGACAGTGGGAAGTTACTACATGATTTCAGAGTATTCCAATTTGCATGTTAGAAAAAAATGAGTTCAGTAAACAGAATAAATTTGAAATCAAAGGCTGGAAGACTGGTTACAGGGACTTTACCATTAATACTCCAGGTGAGAAAAGATAAAAAGCTTGAACTATAATAGCAATGCAAAGGAAATAATGAATTTAAGAGATATTTGGAGGACTTCACCAATAAGGATCAGGTAGAGAGGATAACCCTAACTGAAGGAAGGATAACTGAGACTTCCAGCATATATGTCTGGACATACAGTGTTACTACCAATTAAAATTAGTAATACTGGGGTGCCTGGATGGCTCAGTTGGCTATGTGTCTGACTCTTGATCTCAGCTCAGGTCTTGATCTCAGGGTCATGAGTTCAAGCCTCGCACTGGGCTCCACACTGGGTGTGGAGTGGATTAAAAAATAAAAAATAAAATTAATAATACTGGGGGCAATGTGTATGTAAAAGATAACAAGTTCAGTTCTGAAACCTGTAGTACTACAATGTACCTACAGAATACCCTGGAAGGATAGGCAGGCTGGGTAAAAAACATTCCTCTAAACCTTAGGCTACCTGAGATAAACACATAATTTGATGGTTAGCAATATACAGGTTATAGCTAAAACCAGGAGTAATTGAGATCATCCTAGAAAGAATGCATAGTGTAAAATAAGGGATGAGAACAGAATCTACCTAAATGACCAAAAGGATGTATCCAGAATGAGACTAAGGTAGAATAAAAATGTTAAATGGGTTTAATTGGACTGATCTGGGCTTAAATGGTGATTTTTTTGTAGCTGAGTGACCCTAAGCAAAGTCATTTAACCTTAGCTGCAAATTTGGAGACACTGACTACCTCATATGGTTTACATACACACACACATTTGTGTATATATCATATGTATTTATTTTTTTATCATATGTATTTAATAAAGGCTTATAACAGTACCAATTTATTATTAATATTAGTATTAATTTAAATAGTACCAAATTACTGATTCTGGTAAACAGAGATGCAGATGCATGAGACTCTAGAAAACTAAAACAAAAAACAAAAAACAAAACTTAAATCTTTCCTAAAATGTCTCCGCTCAAGAAGGATCCCACTGCACATAGCATACTGCACTGGTATATAGTCTCAATACTCTTAAGTCATCTATATACCAGTGGCCCAAGCTTTTCAGCAATGTCAAAGGCACACATGTACTCTCATTCTTATCCTTAAAATTCCTCTAATTCACCTTCACAATTTGGCTAGAGAATTCTTAAAGTTCCATTTATGACTATCTCACTTTGGTGGATGAGGAAAAAAAACATGAAATGTCAGGATGTTTAATGTATGGCAAACACTGTTTTATAAAAGTCAAAGCCACAGCAAAATTTGTGCTTGTCAGCAATTGCTGGCTTCTGATTTTATCACATTTGCCTCTTCTAAGAAGAAATAAAAGCTAATGGCTATTGAAGTAAGCTCCAGTTCCTGACAGAGACAACTTACAGCAAGTAAACTCCAGTGTTGTTATTAAAAACCTAAAGGAACATGAACAGTGACAAAGGACAAACATGCCAAGAGAACCAAGCCCTGGCCTCAGTATGGTATTCCAGCAATGCATGGAGCAACTGTACAGATAATGCTGAGACCCAGCTTCACTCCTCAGTTTCTTCGCAACAAGAAACTGAGGCAAGGTCCATCTCTGCCCATGCCATGATGCATAGGCCAAAATTATCACTGTCTCCATCACAGGCCACAACCATTTCAAGAATAGACATCCTCATTCCAAGAGTGAAAGGCTCAGGTGGTTTAATGACACTATTCCATATTTATCCACTGTTCTTTAATAAACAGGTTTCTGCCTTATGTACCCAGGAATTTATTTCCATTGTCTATGTGAATGGGTTAGAGAGGATCAGTGCACAGTACCAAAGGAACATACCAGAGTGACAGTTAACACAAAATATCTAAGTAGGAGACTGGGTAGAAAAAGGAAGAGGGAAGTTCAGAGATGGGAATGGTGAAAAACACATCAGAATTAGTCATTCAGGGCAGCCCCAGTGGCGCAGCAGTTTAGCGCCGCCTGCAGCCCAGGGCGAGACCCTGGATCGAGTCCCACATCAGGCTCTCTGTATGATGCCTGCTTCTCCCTCTGCCTGTGTCTCTGCCTCTCTGACTCTATGAATAAATAAATAAAATCTTTTAAAAAAAAAGAATTAGTCATTCAGAGAAAGGAAGACAAGCAATGCAGATATGACAGCATAAGGAGACAGGAAACCGTGAAAGATCACAGGGGGTTACGACATTGCAGGTAATTCAATATGCCTAAAGGACAGGGTAGGACTTCAAGAGAACAACTGCTGAGTGCTTTAACTAACGGTGCTTCCACAAGACATAATACTGACTCCTAGAGTCAAAGAAGAGCATACTGGAGGGGAACCTGGGCTTGGATTCACTCCACTAAGTTTCATCCAAGCTGAAGTTGTACTTTGGAATTCTGTCAAGATTTAACATGTGTTATATATAGAGAGAGTCCCAGACAATATGAAAAAAATAGAACTATGAAATTAAATACAGTTTTAGTTTTCAGAGAGCAATTTTCCATACACTGCCTGGCTCCCAAATTCCCTCATGACCCAGACTACAGACCTTTCCCCGTAGCAGACAAAGTCCATATAGCAGAGAATGCTTTAGTTCTGTTCATTTATTTAAAAACTTAAAAACAAAAATACCAAAACCTAAAACTCCTCCAATTACTGAATACATGCAATACTGTTTAGGTTGTCAAGAGTTTAAAAGCATACTTACCTATACAAGCAGTCCATATAGTCTGCACCTTTGCTATATTCCTCCCAATACCTATGATACATAACAAGTACTTGCTCTTCAGACTCCAGAACTCTCTATATAAAGAAGAAACATATTTTTACTTGGAAAGCACTAATCATTTTCATTTGTAAGCTATGAAATTTATCAAAAATTAATGTTCTAAAATGACATAATTCAAGTATTCTAGACTACATTTAAAAATTACATTCTAATTTAACTATTTTTAGGAACACTGAAATGACCAGGAAAAAAAATGTGTCTTAGATATGAAAATAAAGCATCCATACTAGAGAGTTAATGATTTTATTCTCTAAAAGGATAAAATGTAATGGTGTGAGGTTGTCTTTGGGCTAAAATATTATACCAAGATCAGTTTAAAAGAGAATGTAATTCCACTGTCACATATCTGTGTGCTTCCTCAAATCCCGATCTTTTGATCATCCTGCTAGTTATAAACCATAACTCCGAATTATTCACTTATGTGAATAAGACTACTTATGAAAACTTACACCTTTTCTATATTCCTCAAATAAGTTGTTTCATATTACTTAATAGAAATCTATTATTTTTTGAAAAATGAAAATCAAACAAATTTGAGGTCTAATTTTTTTAAAGTTATTTTTGAAGGAAATCTAGTCTAACAATAAAAATACATTGGACTGATACTCAAAAGATCTTAGGCTCTTTTATCTCAGTTCTTTCATTAACTGTCCATATGATTTTAAGCACGTCATGACCTCAATTTCCATCTAATTAATTCTATGATGAAATGCTATGCTTTCAAACTTGGAATTTTAATAATTAAGGTTCAAAAGACAAAAATAATCTATAAATATTTTTTGCCCATCTTATTAATAAATTAATTTAAAATAGCAACTACTATTAATAATGCTGGGGAAAAGCCCACCCTTAGGAACTGTTGCTGCTGAATGAATAAATACAAGAACAATTTGTTACTGTATGTCAAAACAATAAAAAATGTTCTTAATCTATGACTCAATGATTCTATGTCTAGGAATTTATCCTATAAAAAACTCAGCTACACAAAATAATTTAGCTACCAGGATATTCACAGAAGCATTGTTTATAAAAACAAATTATATATATTGCAATAATCCATATGCCCAGCAATATAAAAATATTTAAACAAACTGTAGTATCTCCACACAATGAAAAATTTTACAGTCATTGCCAGGATTATACAGTCAATTTAATGACAAAGAAAGACACTTGTTAAAATCAAAAGATTATAAAGAGGATACGACTTCATTTTCTAATAAAAATGGAAGTCTACGCAAAGCAAAAATATGCAAAAGACAAATATCAAATTATATATATGTTAATATGTGCCAAAATAGACGTGTTTAAGTATAGATAATAAAAAATATTCACAGTAGTTAATTCTAGAAGTATGTTATGAGTGATGTTTGGATGATTTTCTTCTTTTTGCTTTTCTGTATGTTCTAAATTATCTAAAATAGCGATGCAATACTTTAGTAATTAAAAAAGTTCCCTCCCCCAATCAAATAAAATTTTCTTCTCACAGGGAAACTGCTTCAAATCTGTTGGCTATGTTAATAATTTACTTTGTCATCAACACATCATTTTTAAATGCAATTATACCAATGTTAATTTCCTAGTTTTGATAATTGTACCACTGTTATGCATGATGTTAACTTAAATAAGCTAATAAAAAGGATATAGGAATTATTATTTTTGCAACTTTTCTGAAAGTCTGAAAGTATTTCAAAATAAGACATTTTAAAAAATATGACCCATGCTAACATATACAACTGCAAAATTTATAAGTGACTTACACAGGTTAACAACTATAGTATAACCAAAGTTCACTACATTAACATAGCAGAACTTTAAAAGTAACTTATTAAACATTGTAAGAACAATTTAAAGTACCTGTTATCAAAACTACTTTCGTGAGCTGACAAATACACGTATTAGAACACTAAAATGTTATCTGCCGTGTATAATAAAAAGAGCATTTCCTTCAAAAGTTTTAAAAGGGAAATATCACAAGACTAATCGTGCTCTGGGGTTTCACCACTTTATTTCCTTTTTTCTTTTTAAAGATTGTATTTATTTATTCATTCATTCATCCATCCATCCATTCATTCATTCATGAGAGACACAGAGAGAGAGAGAGAGAGGCAGAGACACAGGCAGAGGGAGAAGCAGGCTCCATGCAGGGAGCCTGATGTGGGACTCGATCCCAGGACTCCAGGATCAGGCCCCGGGCCAAAGTCGGCACTAAACCGCTGAGCCACCTGGGCTGCCCAGTTATCACCACTTTTAAACGTATCTGCACCTAGCCACATCCAGAGTTAGGCACAGTGTTATATAGTGTCATTGTATCTCCACTTTATTTATTTCAATTTAATTAAGTAACTACTGTGTATTATTAGTTTCAGGGGTAGAATTTAGTGATTCATCAGTTGCATATAACACTTAGTGCTCATTACATCAAGTGCCCTCCTTAATGCCCATCACCCAGTTACCCTATGCCCCATCCCCTCCCCTCCAGCAACCCTGTTTCTTTCCTATAGTTAAGAGTCTTTTCCCTCCCTTCATTCCATATATGAGTGAAATCATAACTGTCCTTCTGACTTATTTTGCTTAGCATAGTACCTTCATTTTAAAGAGAAAGAAACTTAAATTTCAATCCATAACTCAGTTGCCCATGGTCACACAGCTAATGAAAGGTTAAGTCAAGTTTCTAGCCCAGATAATAAGTGATCTCTTCCAGTTCCTGATCAGAAGTCCAAAACAAGTTCAGAAATACTGTCTATAGCAACCTATTGCAAATTCTTTGTTCACACACAGATCAACTGCGTGATGTTGCCCTTCTACATATGGCATACTAACTAATAAAGCAAGTAGTCACAGGGACAGTTTCTATCATGCTTTTTAATTTACCATTTCCCTATTTCATTTGAGGTTTTTGTTAAGACTTTATGTAGGGTATGAAGAGGCAGCTAGAAGGTTGAAAATAATTGAGAGATTTACCAAGAGATGGGAAGCAAGAGTAAAAGAAAACATGGTTCTAGTAAACACCATCCAGAGGACATAGATTTTAAAGTTGAACAGGGGATCCCTGGGTGGCTCAGCGGTTTCGCGCCTGCCTTTGGGCCAGGGCGCGATCCTGGAGTCCCGGGATCGAGTCCCGCGTCGGGCTCCCGGCATGGAGCCTGCTTCTCCCTCTGCCTGTGTCTCTGCCTCTCTCTCTCTCTCTCTCTCTATGTCTATCATAAATAAATAAAAATAAATATTTAAAATAAATAAATAAAGTTGAACAAACCTTGATTTGAAATCCCACTGTTTCAGTTACTAGTTATATGATCCTGAATAACTGATTTCCCTCAGAGAATCTAACAACATAATGTTTAGCTCGTAAACCTTAAATATATATATATATAATCAGAAAAATGCTATTTAGGAAACAAAGCAAATAACCTTAACCTGCACTGGAAAACATTAAACTAGTTTACTGCTTATATAAGTTAAATAACTACCCAGCTACGAACATTTTTACCATGTATGTATCACTTCTTACCTTGTGCAAATGCCGTACGTGATTTTCCAAAAAAATTTTAGTTTCTGTATAAAGTCTTTCTCCAAGGGGTTCAGGATAGGCCACACATAAAGCATAGATATCTCTAGTTAAATTGTTAAGGTTTTCATATTCTTTGAAGATACTATTTAAAATAAGATTTAACTCAGGTTTGCTATTAAAAAAATGAAAAATCATTTCAGACAATTTAAGATTATACAGCTATAGAAAAAATAAAATAAACAGCCAGCTTACTTTAAAAATTACTGTTACTCATTTAATCATTCAACAAATATTTCTTGAGAATTATTAAAAAGGAAAATGGTTCTTCTCAAAGAGTTTAAAATTCAGAGTGACATTCTGGTAAATCAAGTTACCCAGAAACCTACAAAATAAGGTTTATGTAAGAATGGACATAAGTATAACATCAACAAAGGGCCATGGAATATCCCAAGCAGATATGTCTAAGCAATTCTGAGAAACAAAACATTACTCTTTTGACACATATTTTCACATCATAGTACTGGTCAGAACATCCTATAACCTACACACTATCCTTCAATATTTATTCCATTAGAAGAATTATAGCATCAATAGTAATACCAATTAATCAATTAAGTTCTTGAATACTAAGTACGCTGCTAGGTATCACAAGTGGTAGAAATGCTGTAGCAGACAGTTCTTAATCAGGAGACAGTGGAAATAAGTGCTCCATAAACTGCATCACTGACCAGATGTTGAAGATGAAGCATTCATGAAGCAATCTGAGAACAACCTAATTAAAGATGCAGACAAAAACTAAAATAAGGCTAATTATTTGGGATGGAATCAAGTATGTAATATACGTATTATACTTTTATTTATATTACAAATATAGTCAATATACTTATCAGAAAATATTCCAAAATTAAAATTTGTGCTTAAAATACAGAGGTGGGGGGTTACCTGGCTGGCTGAGTTGGAGAAGCATGTGACTCTTGATCTCAGGGTTGTCACTTCAAGCCCCATGTTGGGTGTAGACATTACAAGTAAAACAATAATACACTTAAAAAATTTTTAAAACCAAACTTTTATTACAAAACAAATATGGGACACCTGGTGGCTCAGTCAGTCAACTGTTTGCCTTCGGCTCAGGTCATGATCCCAGGGTTCTGGGGACAAACCCCACCCACACGCAAAAAAACCTGCCCACATCAGGCTCAGTGGGGAGCTTGTTTCTCCTCTCACTCTCAAATAAATAGAATCTTTAAGAAAAAAAATATAGAGAGGTACGATGCAGGCAGGTTTTTCCTCTTCTGTATCTCTGTAACATTTTATATTATTCTTCTTCCATAGGACTTATTTTTATACAATAGAAATGATTTATACCTTTGCCATCCAAACTAGCCTGTTCTTATAATCATTTCTGTATTCCCAGCTCCAAGGTATAATTCCTGGCACATAATAGGCACTTATTAAACACTTGGTGATGGAAGGATGGTAGGGAATCAGTATCACATGCTCTATTTACCTAGTGTCCTTACTCCATACACCAGAAAGACAAGTAGCCCTCTCCATACGAGGTCACTGATGGACATATTTCAGTCAAACTTTCCCAGGTTTCATCTAAATCCTTGTATTTTTTAATTATACTTCGTAAATAATAAAATATATTCATGCATATATGTGAACATTCAATACACTATTGTGCTAAATATAAACAAAAAATTTTCTTTACTGTGTAATAAAACAGAGAAGCAAAATATCCATATAATGTAATATTACTGTGCCAGGTTTTTGTTTTTTAAAGATTTTATTTATTATTTGACACAGCATTGGGGGAGGGCATGCAGAGGGAGAGGGAGAAGCAGACTTCCTGTTGAGCAGGGAACCCAACACAGGTTCCATCCCAGGGCCATGAGATCATGACCTGAGCCAAAGGCAGATGCTTAATCAACTCAGCTGCCCAGGCACCTCTGTGCCACGTTTTTTCATAGAAAAAAAATATACAGTAAGAAACAAACTATTAGGATAACTTTGAATCACTTGAGATTTAATAATGAAACTTTATAAAGTAGAAGATTATGTAAAATAGCACATAAGAACTATTCAACGGTAATAAAAAATATTAACCTATATTACAAAGAAAATAGACATTTTAACATACATCATCTAAGAAAGAATTAGAAATTTATCTGGACACAAATTCTATAGAGAATTAATAATAGGTTGGGGAGAGAAGGAGCAAGGTATGAATGCAGAAGAAAGGCGCTCTAAAATATTAGAGTTCTGGAATCCAGCTTGGAGGTGTCAGCTATATATTCCTTAATGGAAAAAAAAAAGTTCTAGTTCACATTATTTTAAATCTCTAAGAGTTCTGTTTTATCATAGAGATTTATATTCAATCTTAATTATTCATCACAATCTTATCCTAGTAAAAACAGATATAAAAATGTTGTTAGAATTAAATGTATTACAAGTGAGGAGAGTGGTTGAGTTTGTGGGGTGCTTCTGGGATGCTAGGAGCACTATTTATTGGGACATGGGTATGTTCATGTTATGAAAATTTACCTATATGGTTTTTTAAAGATTTCAGTTATTTATTCATGAGAGACACAGAGAGAGGCAGAGACATAGACGTAGGGAGAAGGAGGCTCCATGCAGGAGCCAGATGCGGGACTCGATCCCGGAACTCCCGGAGCACATCCTGAACTGAAGGCAGATGCTCAACCACTGAGCCACCCAGGCGTCCCAATTTACCTATATGTTAATGTGTCAGTGTGCACACTATATTTAAATTTAAATTTTGTTTTTTAATAAAGACTAAATTTAGCCAGGATCTACATAAAAAATTTTGGCAAAGGTGTGATGCATTAAAGATCTCTGAGTTCTGCATACCTACATCAAGAATTTTCATCCATTGTATTTGCTCTACCTTTTTAAATACTTATTTCTACAATACACAACTTGATACTGAAAAATTAACATGATTCAATACCATAAGTTCAGCATGATATGCTAATTTTAGGTTCCCAAACGTTCTTTATCACCAAAATTAATGTTTTGTGGTCATAATATATCCACTTGCGGGGCAGCCCCGGTGGTGCAGTGGTTTAGCGCCGCCTGCAGCCTAGGGCGTGATCCTGGAAACCCTGGATCGAGTACCATGTCAGGCTCCCTGCATGGTGCCTGCTTCTCCTTCTGCCTGTGTCTCTGCCTCTCTCTGTGTGTGAATCTCTATGAATAAACAAATAATCTTAAAAAAAAAAAAAAAAATATATATATATATATATATATATATATATATATATATATATATCCACTGCATGTATAAAACTGGCTAAAAGGACTCTCACACCACAGGATTTACCATCTTTCCCCTTAGGGAAAAAGGATCTGTGCAGGGCAGAGAATATAGGAAGATTTTCCCATTGCAATCCTTATACAGGATTTATATACTGTTTGACATCCTCAGTGAGAACATACTCGTGTGTTTCTTTTTAATGGAGTCTACCTTAATAAATCTTTTAATTTTTTAACTTGTCATAGTTTGGGGTCTCAGTTAATCACTGTATAATGTCACTTAACTGTCTAAAAGATACTCCTAAATAAATTATTTTTCTCTAACCTATTCAAATATCTAACCATCCTGGAAATATTTAGGCCTTAGGAAGAGCACCTAACCCTCTACCACTCAATTATGATTTAGTCATAGACAAGGCATTTCAAAAAAAAGAGGGGGGGGAATAACTGGAGAAGGCCAGTTTTAGATTTAAACACTTTCTTCTCCAAAGTCAACTTTTCCTCTTAAGTTACTCTTCAGGGAGCCAGGATATGAAAATTCCTCTATTATGACTTTTCCACTTATAAATTCTCACAGTCAAAAAACAAAGCTATTCCAGAGCAAAAGTTCTGAACTGTCACAACCAAAAGACAGTGCTGGCCAGCAGCAAAATCTCTTATTTTGGTTCATTTTCTCTACTAAAGACGCTACCTATGCTTATGCTTAATTCTGAATTATAACACTATTAATTTTATCATGTAGTGGGTCCAGAACAATGAGTTCTACAATGGGTATGAAAATAAAGATGATCCACAGCAACAAGACACACACCAGCAATCATTTTCTAAGAAAGAAAATTCCCCACTTGGAAAGGAAGAGTAACACAGTATTATTATTATTATTATTATTATTATTATTATTATTATTATTTGGGGGATCCTGACACTGGGCTGCAGAATCCATCTTCCTTTCTTGTCCCCCTCTTCCTCCACTTTTGCTCTCTAGTCTTCTGTCTGGGCTCTCACCTTTCCCTCCGCCATCCTAGGCCCTTATCCCAGGCCCCTATCCGGTGTGTTCTGACCCAGCTGAGGGCCACTGCATATGACTCTCATTAGAAGAGAAAAAGAGGGGCACCTGGCTGGCTCGGTTGGGGGAATACGAGACTCTTGATCTCAAGGTTGTGCGATCAAGCCCCATGCTGGGTGTAGAGGTTACCTAAAAGTAAAATCCTTAAGACAAACTGAGAAAAGGGAAAAAAAAAGAAGCAAAGACAGAAAACCAAGCCATGGGAAAAGAAGTACACATTGTATGTTTATGCGTTCTCATGAGGAAGGTACAGCTTATAGGAGATTTGTATGGATGTGCTTTTAAGTTATATATATAACATAAGCAGGAAACAAATTTTAAACAGTGCTGATAAGTAAAAAAAAAAAAAAAACAGGAAAGGTTATCTTAAACTTGAAAATGGTACAATGACCCAACAAAGTATCAACGATAAAAAAATAAAGATCTTTATTGACATTTCTGAAGAGAAAGAATAAACACACAACATGTAAAAGATGCAATATCTATGAAATCATCAACTAGCAAGGATATAAAATTATTTGTTAAATGGAAAAACTTTAAAGTCGATAGCTACAGAATGACAATAATTGAGTATTTGTCTGATTTAATTTGGAATAGAGTGAAAATGTTACTGATGCATCAAGCAAAGAAAACTACAGTTAAAACCTTTTCCAATCCGTACAATCTAAGAAAGAATGATGGGCTACTAAGTACAGGTACCAAGGTTAGTAAGAAGTTCTCCTAAAATCAGTGAGGATCGTCAGGGATGCTGATTACCTACTTCAGTATTTTTCAATGTAGTAAAAACTGGTCTATGTTTGAAAAGATGCCTGACAAAAAAATAGTAGAAGTGAGGACAATGGTTATGCCTGGTTTTAAAATCTGGTTTTCCTATCTGGGAGAAATACATTCATGAAAGGTAAACTAGATTTCCCCTCAATCACTCTGGTTTTACAAAAAACCATTTAGAATCTAACTTGCCCTTAAGTAGGAGAGCTTCAATATTAGACTGCAGGACTTGGCAACTGTCCTAATAGCTACCAAAAGGCAGAAAAACCATGAATAAAACCTGGAGACCCGGGATCGAGTCCCATGTCAGGCTCCCTGTGTGGAGCCTGCTTCTCCCTCTGCCTGTGTCTCTGCCTCTCTGTTTCTCATGAATAAATAAATAAAATCTTTAAAAAAAAAAAAAAAAAAGAAGTGACTGAAGCAACACTTTCCAGGGAAGTCAGGTATTTCTACGACCACCTCCTTCTTTTTCTGTTCATATTTTAGTTGACATAGCTTTAAAACTACCTATGTACTTGTCGAGCAAAACCTCATTAACACCCAGTAGCCTTTAATACTTCTTCCATTTTATTAAGATTCCTACACAATAAAAGATTCCTATGCAAAAACAATCCACGATGTTCCATTAAAAATTAGGCTATTTTAACAGTAAGCTCTTCAAAGGCAGAATCCATATTAATTATCCTCTAGAAGGGACCCCTGGGTGGCTCAGCGGTTTAGCACCTGCCTTCGGCCCAGGGCATGATCCTGGAGTCCCGGGATCGAGTCCTACATCAGGGCCCCGCATGGACTCTGCTTCTCCCTCTGCCTGTGTCTCTGCCTTTCCCTCTCTGTGTCTCTCATGAATAAATAAATACATAATTTTTAAAAATTATCCTCTAGATACACTGCCAAGTATAGGAAGTTAGATGTTAGAAAAATCATAGTCAAGTCTGTGCTCCTTCGATTACTACCTACATGATCTCTGAATATCCATTTCCTCCTCTTTATTTAAATAAAGACAATTATATCTGCCCCATCAATCTGATAGGCTTCTCTGAGGGTCCAAATAATATAAAAAATATAAAACAAACCTATGAAGGATTCCAGAAACATAACCATCATGTTATTTATCTTTAGTACCTAGGACATAGGTCACCTAACATGTTTCTTAACAACTGCAATTTTAATGAATGAGATGGTTTGCTGTTGATCTAAAAGAACTTCACTGTCCTTGCATCAACATTCACCTTAATATAAGAATTGAATTAGGCATTGGGAACAAGTTGAGTCAGTGTTATAAAATCCAAGCTTTTCTACAGAGCATATGCCCACACAATGAGGGCAGCGATTCTTTAGACCCAGAAGACTGCTAGAGGGCAGTACAGTGTTCGGGAAAACTGTATCTCCATACACATTTTGGTTAATACTTTCTCATCTCGATTTCCCTTTCTGGAGAAAGAATCTCTGGTTCCTACAGTATCCACCCATCCTCAAGGCTTCTGGCAAGGCCCTGGGGCATTGCCGTGCCATCTGCACCCAGAGACACCCAGGCCTCAACCCTACCCGCCCCCTTCCTTTACCCTGAGATAGGACATGTGTGGTGTTTCCTGTGGTAAAAGACTGAGGCAGTTCAGAAGTCGGCCAGTAAATATGTTCCAACGTACCTACATTGTCCATGCCCACCCAGCCTTAGTCCCTGGCAGACAATGGAAAGAGTTGGTGAAACTGCCATCTACGGCTTTGCCACAGGTACCTGTGGCCAGTGGTTCCTAGAGACCTCTGTAATTTCCCAAATACTAAGAACTGAAGTATTTTAGTATTTTGGTGGTTTTTTTCTTGGTGCCAGAGTTTATACCCTGAATGCTGGGATTGTACAGTGTTTTTTACATATAAGTAATATGTGTGTGTGTGTGTGTGTGTGTGTGTGTGTGTGTGTGTGTGTATTATATTGCTGCCATGTAGGAATGCAGGACACTGGGGTTCAGATGGTTCTAGAAAAACCACAAATTTGTATTTTCATATAAAATTGCTAATTCAAAATATAGACAACTCAGTGAAAAAACGTATTTCTAGGGACACCTGGGTGGCTCAGCAGTTGAGCATCTGCCTTTGGCCCAGGGCATAATCCTGGGGATCGAGTCCCACACCAGTCCCTGCATGGAGCCTGCTTCTCTCTCTGCCTGTGTCTCTGCCTCTCTCTCTGGGTCTCTCATGAATAAATAATTAAAATCTTAAAAACAAAAACAAAACAAAACAAAACAAAAAAACGTATTTCTAGCCGCCAAGTCATTAAACTTGCCATTCACTCTCTACCTAGAACATTTTTCCCCCAGATATCTGTATGACTTGCTCCCTTGCTTTGGCCCAGTCTCTGTTTAAATATCACCATCTTCCTCAGAAAGGCCTTACATGACCATCCCATCTAAAAGAGCTGCATACATAACATACTCCAACCATTATCCATGCCCTTACCCTGCTTTATTTTTCCCCACAGAGTTTATCACTACTTGTTAGTAGAAGCACTGGCATTAGATTTTTAAAAAAACCTGTTTGTCTGTTTCCCTTTAGCAGAATGAAGGCAAAGTAAGTTTTATTTACAACTGTATTCCCAAAGCCTCCAGTAGTACCTGACATATACATAAGAATTTTTTACATGAAAGGCTCTCAGACTGTTGACTGACACATATAGGTGATAAACTTGGAAATGTAAACAATGTATGTGAAAGTAGTCACACTGGAATTCTCTTCTATTTATACAGATATAAACCTTTTCTCACTTTCCAACAAGTTTATCAGTGTTAGAACATTTGCCAATGTTTGGTAATACAGTCATTGATACAGTATCACTTTCAATACAAGAACATTTATCAATGCCACAGAAAGGATACGAGAAGCGATCATTCCATGTTGCTCTTTCGACGTATTCCAACATGACAACAGCTTTGATTGTCGTTAAAAGTTTGTTCCATGTCTCATCAAAATCTACTACTCTTGGTTTCAAAGACATTGTGCAAGTTTAGTGTTGAAATCTGTTGATTAAAAACAATAATAATGTTAGCATGAATTCTACAAACAAGTTACTTGTTTTTAAAGCAACATATAATGCAACAGCATGACAGACAAAAGGGGTGAACGGAACCTGGCACATAGTGAAAACACAATAAATACTGGCCACTATCTTTTCATAACTATCCAGACAAGGAATTACAAATTTACATTCATTACAAACTCTAGGAAGTGGAAAGCTTTTACTACAAATTACTTATAGATCAAGAGCATTGTTCCAATGATTTAGAAGCCTCACTTAATGTGCTGAAGGAAAAATGCTGGGAACCCATTAGCCAAAAAGCCAGCTCCCATCATAAGAAACATGCGAGAGACATTTAATAAAAAGGTTTGGGCTCCAAATCTGTACATACTCCTTAAACTGGGGAATGAGGTAGCATATGGGGGAATATGAGAAGACACAAGAAAATGAAAAGGTTTATCTTCCCACATTAGTTTAGGTAAACAATTAAGAAAAAATTTACATTTCTATCAAAACAAAGGAGTTGTAGAATACAAAATCCACATGAACTTAAAGATAATAAATTTATAGATTCCAAAGATAATCAGGGTTGCAGCAGAGAGCTTAGGCTCTCTTAGATTTTAGATTCTGAGTATCCAGTCCCACTTCCCTTAATGAAAGTACGGCTCTAGGATGAAACCTCTGGTTCTGGTGACCTTGACCAGCCTAGAAGAGAGCTAAAAGTTTGCCTAGCAGACAAGCTATATTCTAGAAGTTCGCTGGTTTCTGAAACAAAAGGGTCCTTAGAGTAGAGAAACTTGGCTTAAGTGCTAGATTCCAAATACTTCTCTATATCATATCAGAAAAACAGAATTAAAAGAGAACTCTTTTAAAGTTAAATTTAATTGCAGAAGGGAATACTTCTCTGACAGGTGTTTTAATATCCTCCCCAAAGTTTTCTATAATTACTGGAACTGTGAACCCCAAGCTAGCCTGTAGGCAAGGCCAAATAAGGAGGAAATTCCATCTCTTGTCTCTTACTATGTAGAACACCGGACTGTACAAAAACAATGGGGAGAAGGTGAAGATGCATAAAGTAAAAAAGGAGACAAGAGGAGGAAAGTGGGTATACACTCTCAGCCACGAACTGGAGGTGGCCCTATGCCCTTCTAACATTTCTGTCCTGAGCAAAAAAGAACTCAGGGAGTCCAAGGAAAACTTCAAGAAAGACAAGAAAAGGAATCAGAGAGAAGCCAAACAAAATCCAAGGGCACGTGGCACACTGAATCAACAGTCTTTCCTCAATATACTAGAGACTAACCACTGGGCTTTATTTAAACTTCCAGTATTAACTAGAATGGATGAGCAGTAATCTGTGACAGTGAGTAAGTATAAGTGTCTGTGCATGTGTCTCTGTATTTGTGTTGGGAATGTGGGCAGGGGACAAACAGGAAGGAGGGAGAACCTAAAGCTCTAGCTCTACATCACAGAATTAACCTTAACTCCTTTTCCTTATTTACCACATCCTATCCAACTGTGTTCCTTTCTTAAGTTCATGCATTTCTATAATATTCATATAGTACTCACTATAATCCAAGCATTCTTGGATTATTCTAAGTGCTTTATATAAACTTATTTAATTCTCAGAACTATCTGATTAGGTGGATCCAACTACTCTCTCCATTTTCCATATAAGAAAACTGAGTCCCAGGATGATTAAGGAACCTGTTTAAGGTCACAGCACTGTTTAACGGTGGCATCAGAAGAATTCCAACCTGTGCTGGATTCCATGTTCTTAATTGCTATATGCAACTATACTGCCTTACTAATTATCTTTGGTGAATATTAAACACTTGCCAGGCACCATTCTACCCTCTGAGGATACATTATTCAATAAATAAAATTCGTGACCTTCGAGGTTAAAATCTCACAACTGGCACTCAAAGGCAAAAATAACCTACTTAAACCAAAAAATTGACCATGTTACTCTTGTACCTCAAGCGTTTGATACGTCCCACTATAGAAAGCAGGAAGTTTAAGCTCACTGACAACACGGCATCCTAAGCTTCTATGATTTGACCTTACACTAATGCACCTCTCCAGCTTCCTCTTCTCATGGGACTCCCATCCTTCACATCTTAATCCAGTAACTTTTTCTCTGCTCAGAGGTCATTGAGTTCAACAGGGTGATTCATATACCCAGTCTTTACTCTTTTTTGTTTTCTCTATCTAAAATTCTTCTTTCTCTTCCTCCCTCTTTCTACCCATTTATCAACTCCTACTGATATTATAGCCTTAGTCTAGTATATCTGTCTTTAAAAAACTTTCCAGGGCCTACTTAAACCAGGTGAGGTGCCCTATTTTTATACAGCACATGAAAATTCTATACTTACCACTATTAGAGCATTAGCCAACCTGAACTGTAATTATCTGAGTGTTTCTTGAGGATAAGACTTATTTTGTAACTATATACCAAAAAGTTGTCAATGCTTCCTTCACAATTGTATTCTGCCCTTATAAAAATGGTATTATGTCTACTGCTTGTAAATTATTTTAATGGCTACACAGATTGCCTTTTAGCTTTATTCAAGTTTTGACAGAATCACAGTGACACTGACTTCTTTGCTGAGACCAACAGGTTTAAGGTAGAGTGGGTATATGTGCAGTGATAACCCATTTTCAGATGGATAGAAAATATGGAAGGTGAGAAAAACAGTAGCCTAATGAAACATAAGAGAAATTAATGAACCAATATCTGAAAGTATGCTGATATTGTCTCCTAAATTCTGTTTGCATAATATAAAGCTCATATAACTAAAAAATTTAAGTTCTTTGATCTTAAATTGTTTACATGGTAATTTATTCATGAGGAATTTATGTAAGAATGATACAGAACAAATAAACAGAACTACATTTCCCAAGCTGTCCAATAACTCATAAAAATAAATGAGTCTTCTTCATCCCTGCGGTTTTATTAGGGACCACATTATGGTCCTATGTCTGACATCCTGCCAAGACCTTATCTATCCTCACTTGGATTATATCCCACTTAGTATCCTCAAAGTTACCACATTACTACCTTAGCTTTTTCTGAGTTCCCACTCAGGTAATGTTAGAGTATTTAACACTTAGGCAGTATACAGGTACTGGGTGTTATGAACCCTAAAAACAAATCACAGGCTCTAAATACAAAAATAGAGGGATGCGAGGTTGGCTCAGCAGTTAAGCATCTGCCCTCAGGGCGTGATCCTGGAGTCCTGGGATCGAGTCCCATATTGGGCTCCCTGCATGGAGCCTGCTTCTCCCTCTGCCTATGTCTCTGCCTTTCTTTTTCTTTGTGTCTCTCATGAACAAATAAATAAAATCTTTAAAATAAACAAATAAAGTTACCAAAAAAATTCATGAGTCACTACATTTCCAAATAACATTACATCAATATTAAGTATAATATCTATAAAATTTTCATTACATTTGAAAACAATTTATAGTCTAGATTTTTCTCAGAGGACCATTTCTAAATATGTACAATTATCAATAGTACATTAAATAATTACAAAAGTGATTTACATAGAGTTTTCATATAAGAAATTCCACTCCTACATATACACCCAAGAGAAAACATGGCCACACAAAAACTTGAACACAAATGTTCATAGCAACATTATTCATAAAGGCCAAAAAGCAGAAATTAACTCAAATGTCTATCAACAGATAAATGGATAAATAAAATGCAGTATATATCCACACAATGAATTATTATTCCGCAATATAAGAGTACTGATAGATGTTACAAAATGGATAAATCTCAAAAACACACTAAGTGAATGAAGTTGCTCAAAAAAAGGTCATCTGAGTGCCTTCTATACTATACATGTTATATATTCAAGCATTACTAACCTTCAACCTGCAAGTCAGCAAAATCCAGACTGTAGAAAACTACTGGATAATCAGATTTCCTCAATAAACTATGCACGCATGTAAGAGAGAAGAGAAAAAGAGAGACGGAGAGAGAGACATACAGGGGGAATTTAAGATAGACTAAAGCACATTAATCAATTACAATAATATGACCTTGTTTGGATGCAAGATTTAAGGTCTTCTATATTAAGTTATGATAACCCTGGAACCTTGAACAATGTTGGGATTTTTGATGACCTTAAATAAGTAATTTTTATACTTTTTAAAATGATAATTACAAAATGAGTTTTTTTTTTAAATGAGAATCCTTATCTATTAGGGTCATATTCCAAAATATTTATGAATGTAATAAAATGCTGAGATATGCTTCAAAATTAATAGCTTGTTTATGAAATAGTAATTGTGTAGAATGAGTGACAAGTACATGTGGGTTTATTATACTATTCATTTTTTTGTATACATTTACAATTTTCCAAAGGAAAAGGGTAAAAATCCTTCTCTTCATCATCATTAATAGTTTCATAAACATGGGATGGTGGAAGTACATAAAAGAAATAAGAAAACTTAAAAAAGAAAAAGATATTAATCTAAGAGATCCAATATGCAAACAATATGCATCCTAAGAAAATCAGAAGAAGAGGTAATTATAAAAAAAAAAAATGCCCTACAACTGAAGAACATGAGTTTTCCAATTAAAAAGTCTACACAATACCCAGAATATTTGATTTTATAAATAAATAGCAGGCACCTCTTTTTGACATATTAAAACACTGAGGATAAAGAAAAGATTCCAAAGTTTTCAGAAAAGAAGAACAAGTTACAGCAAACCCTAAGTTGGAAAGTCTTTCTTTTTATGTATATTTACACTGGAAGCTGAAAGGTAATATAAAAGCTATGCCTTCAAAATTTTCAGGGAAAATGACTAACCACCTAGAATTCTCTATCAAGAGTGATATCAACTAACTTCCCAAGCAGCCTTTTTTCACAGGAAAATAGAAGGTATATTCCATCAGGAGAAAATGAAACAAAGACTTGGGATCCCAGAAACAGAGGGATCTAACAAAACAGTAACAGGAATTTTTCAGAATAGGTATGCAGGGTTTA